TATGAATTTGTGACCTACCTCAATAGCATGACATTGCATCTGTGACCTTATTGCAGGATAGATGTTCGATTATATTTATATGTAACCTCATTTACATAGTTGTCTGAGAATCTATATGCCTATTTCCTAATTTAATCTAATATTTCCACTTGAAAGTGATGTTTATGAATTTGTTAATGGATTGCATTCCATTCTCTGTATTGTGACATTAAATGCATGATTTATATACTATTATATATATCTATGACCTATTGTTCCTATGTGTCTAAGACTCTATATGTTTGTGGCCTAACTTGTTATAATTTCTTAATATGTGACATGATTCATGTTAAAAGTGTTGTAGCTAATAAATTATGTTATGCTTCTGTTCAAGCATGATTGTAGCATATTCACGATTACATATGCTGAATACTTGCTCCACGATGACAAAGATTCTATGCCGAAGATATTTGACACTGGGAGAACTAGGCTAGACATAGCGTCTTGGTTATATAAACATCAGGGGATATTCAAGCCTACAAAGGCAGGGAAGCATACAAAGGGAGAGGGGATTGTCATTGAGTGATGATTGATAATGTATTTGAAATTTAGGATGATGATAGGATTTTGTAAAAGGGTCTGAATGTTGGCCTCTTTTCTATTTTTGTTTATAGTAGTTTGTGTCATGACAGTTGGAATTATTGTGATACTGTGGTTGTACATTAACACATTGGAAAATTGTTTGGTTTTTGCATTTGATCAATTCTGGTGTCATTTTTTAGTAGGTTTGGTATTTTATGTTTGGTCAAAGAACTTGAGATGTATGATAGTGTTGTGTTATATTTCATTAACAATTTATGAAATGAAAATGGTTTGTGTCGAATAACAGAATGCATATTTCCTGGTCATAAATTATAGTTTATTACTCATATATGTATGTATTTAGGCCACTGATCAAAATAATTTCACTCGACACATGTCACAAGTAATAGAACAGGTCACTAATCAATGTCACGGTCACAAGTACTTAATTAGTCTGCTCAAGTCAAAGGTAATAGATCACATACTGTTTTCAGTAAGTCAGATATACATACAAAGGTCTCAGAACCAATTGCACGGTTCATTTGCAGAAGTCACATACTATAGTATATTGTCACATATTTAGGTTATTAGGTCACATTTGCTAACTTTTTTAGATTACATGTTATGCAGCATATTTGACCATGCAGCGGTCACATACTTAATGTACACGGGTCACAGATGTGTGTATATTGGTCACAAATATTAATATGATGGTCATAGTTGATATGATACATAGTTAACCCTTCACTGAACAAATTCTACTATGTTGGTCACACATCATAATATCAAATCACAGATTCTGCTTCAAAAGTCACATGGTATTCATTCGTACCACAATTACATCAATGAATATTTATAGTAAAATGATATACCAATCGAGATATACAACCACTTTATGAAGTGTTAAATGCTATAAAAAATGATCTGTTTGCTGTCTAATCGTGTCATCATCTGAGTTGTTGTTCTTTGATTTTTGTCCTTGCTTAATTTTGGCTTAATGGAACCATATTACTACATCTTCTCCGGTTGTGACCACTTCCTCCATAACGTACACTCATCATGCACACATCTGACAACATATTCTTTCTTGTCTGATCAAACAACCATAAACTCAAACATGTTCTTTATTACAAAAAAAGAAAGGCTCAATTTTAGAATTTCTTTATCACGAAAGATCTTTCCTTCTTCCACCTCTCTAACATCGATGATTTTCACAACTGTGACTTCTTGTTCAAATATGTGATCTGCTAGTTCAATTGCTACATTGCAAATGTCTGATGCTAGATCTTGTAATGAAAACAACTCTCCAGTACTTTGTACATCAGCTGGAACTGTAATACTCTGTTGCTTAACTTCTGCTGTTGTTACATTAATACTTAACGGGTATTTAGAAGGGTCACGATCCATTTCCTTTAGCGTAATGTACAAAAGTACACTACTGTCACTACATTTTTCTCAGAAGTCAAAACTTATATTGCATGTTCTAATATACACAAATGTCACAGTTTACTGCAACTGGTCAGAATATTAGATTTTAGGTCATAGATTATCCCATACACTCATAATTGAAAGATCTGTTTTCACACAAATAGATTTCAAGTCATATATGTATGCATACACTATTAGTCACATATTACTATATTTTGGTCTCAGATCTTATACAACTTGACATGGCATATTGAATCGAGGTCACAAATCACTGTATATTGGTCACAAATCATACGCAACTTGACATAACTTAGTGAACTCTAGTCACAAATCACTATATATTGGTGACAGATCGCATGCAACTTGTCAAAGCAGAATGTACGTGTATATTGGCCCACTGACAATATTCGCGCACACGCGCGCGCGCACACACATAACGCACAGATGGTGAACAAATATTTTAATTATGTAGTTCACTATATCGAATTCACGTCATAGACTTATGCTTCTTCAGTACATTCGTATGTACGTATATGTGATCAGATGTATTAGTTCTATAAACATTGACCATAATTGAATCAACAATGCAGTAGTTGCTTTAGAAACAAAAGTAAAAATTGATCGTAGAGCTTAATGTACCCAATTGCAATGAATGGATGTATTAATTCATTAAAAACGTCAAATTCACGAATTCATGGCACGACTTACCGACGGTAACTGCTATATGTTTTTCCGACACTGCTTCGATTTGAAATATCCGATTCCGAAGTCAACAACCTTCTGAACTATTCCCAAAAATACAATACAGCCATGGCGTTAACTCTATTACATTGTCACGAGATAATTCGTTTTGTGAATCTTCAAATTGTGACCCTAAATGTTGATACCGCTATCGATAAATATCAAATTGACAGTGAGTTTGTATTTTAGGAAGATGGATTTATATTTTGGGGAGTCTACCTATAGAAGGTAATTGTTGATTCTACTTTTGAATTTTGGAACCTTCTGACCTTGAGAATGAACTATGCATACTTAATCCCTAGATTATGTTTTTATCCCAAATAGCAATAAAATTGGTCACCTAACGATGGCAATTGGGCTCATCAACCCACGTTGCTCATGGCGCGGCTCGAAAAAAGTTCGAATCGACCTAACTCGAGGCTTGGGGAGAGCCCCAATTTGGATTGTCCGACCAAGCTCGAGCCAACCCGTACGGCTCGCGGGCCTTTATATAAAAATAAAATTAAGAGCAACAACTTGCTGCCTATATATTTTTTATATATAAAAAAAAAGAAAAAAAGGAGCTTGCCCAACTCGGCCGGAAAATGCCCAAGCCGAAATCTCAGGTCGAGCTTAATTTTTTGGGCCGAGTTTTGAGCCCCAAAGAAAGCTTAGACATTTTACTCGAGTAGAGAG